ATGTGTAGGAGATATCATCAGAACATTCACAGAAGAAACGGGAGGAAGGGAAGATTAATAGATTGAAGGCCTGAGAGACTGTTATGAGCATCTAGTCTGACCTTCTGTGTAATACAGGCCAAAGATTTCACCCAGTATTTCCTGCATCACACGTACTTGTTGTTTTATATAGAGCTGCTTTTTTTTTTTTTTTTTTTTTAAGGTAAGCTGTTCAAATGATTCATTGCCCTCATTATATATTTTTTAAAAAGTGCCTTATTTCTAATTTAAATTTGTCTAGTGTTTCCCAGACCACTGGATCTTGCTATGCTTTTGTCTGCTAGATTAAAGAGCCTTCTGTGACCAACAATCTTCCCATGTAGGTGTTTGCAGATCATGATCCATGATTGTAAAGCAGGTTTTCCAGACCCTGAGTCATTCTTATAGCTCTTTACAGACACCTTTCCGTTTTTTTGATATGCTCTTAAAAGTGTGGTCACTAGAACTGGGCACAGTATTCCAGTAATTCACAAATGTCATATACAGAAGCAATACCACCTCTCTACTCCTACTCTGTATTCGTCTGCTTATACCTCCAAAGATTGTTAGTTCTCCTAATTATGGTATCACACCAGAAGCTCATGTTAACTTGGTTATACACCATTACTGTTAAATCCTTTTCAGAGTCACTGCTTTCCAGCATACAGTCCTCTATCCTTTAAGTGTTACCTACATTGCAAATCTATGAACAAAGCTGTCTTTCATTTGGCTATATTAAAATACATGTTGTTCAAATGAGCCCAGTTTACCAAGCAATCCAGATAGCTCTGTTGAAATGACCAGTTCATACAATTATTTACCACCACTGCCAATTTTTGTGTCCTCTGCAAACTTTACCAGCAATGATTTTATTTCATATCGCTGATAAAGATACTCAGTAATATTGGGCTAAGAACAGATCCCTGCAGGACCCTATAAACAGCCCTTTTGGATGATGATTTCCTATTTACAGTGACTTTTTTTTTTTTTGGTTGAAATCATCCGTTTTTAAACCCATTTCATATGTGCTACACTGAGGGTTTTTTGTACTTAACCAGAATGTCACGTGGTGGTAAGTCAACCCTCTTGCAAAAGCCTAAGCGTGTTGCATCAAATAGAAAAGGAGTACTTGTGGTACCTTAGAGACTAACCAATTTATTTGAGCATGAGCTTTCGTGAGCTACAGCTCACTTCATCGGATGCATACCGTGGAAACTGCAGCAGACTTTATATACACACAGAGAATATGAAACAATACCTCCTCCCACCCCACTGTCCTGCTGGTAATAGCTTATCTAAAGTGAGCATCAGGTTGGGCCATTTCCAGCACAAATCCAGGTTGGAAATGGCCCAACCTGATGCTCACTTTAGATAAGCTATTACCAGCAGGACGGTGGGGTGGGAGGAGGTATTGTTTCATATTCTCTGTGTGTATATAAAGTCTGCTGCAGTTTCCACGGTATGCATCCGATGAAGTGAGCTGTAGCTCACGAAAGCTCATGCTCAAATAAATTGGTTAGTCTCTAAGGTGCCACAAGTACTCCTTTTCTTTTTGCAAATACAGACTAACACGGCTGTTACTCTGAAACTTGCATCAAATAGTTACCTTTATCAACCAAACTTATCTCATTTTAAAAAATCAAGTTTGTTTGACACAATCTGGTTTTTTTCCATAAAACATGTTGACTGACATTAATTATACTACTTTCCTTTAATGCTTGACTGTTGCATTCCATATCACCCTTTCCAGTTTTGTTTGACAGTTGTATCAGACTAATCTAGGTAATTTTATTTACTTTTTAAAAAATATTACCTCCAGTGCTCTGGCACTTCCCCAGTGTTCCAAAACTTGTTAGTCAATATCAGTGGTTGACAGAACTCTTTGGATAATTCTTGGACAACTCATGATGAATCAAGGCTGCTGATGTTGTAGTAGAGGAAGTGGAGAGGCACAGAAAGGCATCACCTACAATAACAATTCTGTGAAAATCTCATATTGGTGCTGCTCCATGGATAGCTTCAACAGTGGAAGTGCCAGGGTAGAGCAAAGCATGTTAATCACCATATTCTGCTTATGGTTAGGTGATGCAGGATACATTCCTAGCAGTCAGTCTTCACTAGTATTTGCAGTGTTCCTGTCACTGGTAGAGTTGTACTGGTGGTATCAGTTTAAGGGAGGTTTTAACAGATTTCTGACAAACTCTAAGATGTAGGATTGTAGAAATTGCCATGCAGGTCAGATCTGAGGTTCATCTACTCCAGCATCCTGTCTCTGTTGTTGGCCAGCATCAGAAGCTTCAGAGGGAGATGCAAGACACCTGTAATGGACAATTATCAAACAACATGATTGTTGGGGGAAACTCACTTCTTAACTGTCACAGTTCAGGGCAACTGCACCTATATTCCTCCTCTATGGGTTCTGCAAGGGCACACACTCTCAAGCATCTGGTTCCCTTGGCAATCATCTTTCTTGGTTGGATACCCTTCTGACTGGAATATCTCCAGGCGGAACAGTTCCCTGCCTTCACTGTTATTCTCAGCAGAGAAGTAAGCGAGCTTGCTTACTTTCTCGTCTGAGACAGTTACCAGTATGACCACCCACAGTTCTAGTTACCACACATCTCTTTTTATGCAAGCCTATTTTATTCTTAAGCTAAAAGGACTAGAGAGAAGACGTATTAACAACATTTAAAGAATCTACACACATGCTAACAAGTTTACCAGAGATCACCCCAACCCTAACATGGCCTCTGGTAACAACAGTCTTTGAACACTCCATCCAAGGGATTTCTTTGCAGTTTCAGGTTCATATCTTCAGCTCAGAACAGGCACCAAGTCTTACGGGGCTCCGTAAGCCCAGTTTGTTCAACCCTTCCTTAAGGATTGGAGCCCACCAGGGGTCCTGCCTATTTGCTGGATCAGGAAGAAGGCCCTGAGCCTGTTTAAAACAGTCTATTGAAAAATCCTTTCTTTTTCTTGATCCGGTTAACTTAATTCCATAAAGCTTATCTTATTTCCATAAGGTTTGTCCAGGATGTTGCAGGATATTGTCAGTCTGTTACACCAGTCTCTATCAGGAAAAGGTTAGTTATCCCCCAAAGCATAAGCATTAATGTGCTTCCTAGAATTTTTTAAAAACCTATCTATCGTATAGTTTGATTTTCTTATTATCCATATAAATGTACAGTCCTATTCTGAATCCTGCAAAGTTGTTGATTTCAATGGTTTCTTGCGACAATTAGTTCCAAAGGTTAATTATATATTGTGTAAAAACAAAAAAAATCCTTTTATGACTTTCAAAAAACTGTTGCTGTTCAGTTTCATTGATAATCTCCTTGAAGTTTGAGCAGGTAAATTAGAGTGCCTGATTTACATTTTGAATTGTTAATTATTTTGTATATCTCTCTATCATGTCTCCTCTCTAACTTCAGCAGCCTCATTGTTTTTGATGTCTTTGTATAGAAGATTTTTCCACGTCCACGTACCATTCATTGTGCCCACCTCTGAACCATCTCTATTTTTGCAATACCTTTTCTGAAATGAGGTGATGAAAAATGAAGACAATATTCCAGATGAGGGTATACCATTGGCCGTGCCTTACAAAATGTAAAAGATGTAGCCGAATACAAACTTAAGTCTACATTTTCGATGTGTGCCTACCCAGAGATATTTTTATGAGGCTTGATTAGCTAAGGATGGGTTCTCGACACATCATGAAAATCCGAGCCCTTTAAAATGTGCCGGTTTGGGCATCCAAAATCCGTGTAGTCATTTTTGAAAATTTTGTTTGGAAGCCCTGATCCTGCAAACCACTATTTTGGGCGTATAGTACATTTACTTGAATGCTACTAAGGGCTTGCAGGGTCATATCCTAAGAAGATAAAATGGAAAAATCCCTTCCTCACACCACAGAAAGAGGGAGAGAAAAAAAATTGTCATACATAAACATTTGTACCTTGCTATTCCCAACCAAAATGAAGATTCTGTACTGCCACTTTTCTGTCTATCTTGTAAGTGAACAATACTAAGCTTGTTGGCAATAATAGAACTACAGAGTGAAAAATTAAAGCATTTTAAAATGAGGCAATTTGCCTGAGGTAAGAGTGTATGCTCAGAGAACACAGAAATGCCCAGATAATTCCCCTCAATGAGAAGAGAAATAAAAATAAAAGCAGCGTGGTTAGCTGCCGTGAAAGCTTCCAGTGGCCTTTCCTTCAAATTTTACTAAAGGTTGCCATAGACATGGGGCAGATGAACGTGCAAATCTAGCCAGGGTCACCAGAAAGTGATCATTCCATGCTGTGGAAGAATCCTCAGATTTCTGGATGACTCCTTCACTACAGTAGGGAACTTACAAGTTCATTTTGATCTATTGCCGGGCCCTTCAAGAAACTTTACATATACAGGTAGCTTAAAAATCTTCCTGTTCTAGCTGTGGCTGTTTCACATCACCAGGTACCAAACTGCATATCTCAGGTCTTTTCTGCAATGAATAGTGAAAGTTCATTGGTTCTCTGCCTTAAAGATCTTACTGCTAAATTTATGGAAAAGAGAGCTAGTTCAATATGTGCTTACCATATTGCTGGTTGCTTTAAAAACTCAGTTTACTGTATTTCTGTAAATTGAGTCATATACACTGCAGCTTTCTCCCTAATATATTTTCAGTTATTTAGAGCTTCTCTTCTGCAGCTTTCTAATAGTGATTGCCCCCAATTTTAAGTCAGCTTTCTTATTGCATCTTTAACAATTTTTTGCAGCCACTCTGTAATGCAAGAAAATCAGAACAACAGACATGGATTTTTTGTATTAGTATGTGATGTTAAGCAATCCCTATGTTTTGTGGTTAATTCTAGAAGTAAATAATAAATTCAGGGATATCTTTTACAATCAGCTTTCCAGAGCCTTCAAAAGACCCTTGTATTCAGGCAAGTTATTTTCCTTAATTGCTTAACGAGCCTAATTTTTTCCATCTCTTCCCTTAGCCTGTTGAGTTGCTGATGGTGTTGAAGTATTGATCCATTAAAAAGGCTTGCAGGGAAGCTTTTTACTTGATGTAAGTTGTCTTTTTAATTATAGCTGTACTGCTCTATAGTGCAAAATGCTGTAGTTAAGGTTGTGTCAGCACTTGCATTTTAAATCCTTTTTTTATCAGCATTTAATTCTAGGCTATAAAAAAAATTGCTCTGAGCTAACTTTTAACGTGCACAAGATGTTGGCCTTCAGGGGAAATTTACAATTGTAAAAATCTTTTTTCAGTATTTGGGTTATTGAAATATTAGCTGCTTTTTTTTTTTTTTTTTTTTTTACTGGCGCACTCTTTGTGCGTGTGTGTGCGTGTGTACCATCACATCTCTTCTGATTGTCAGTACAGCCCTGCATGAATATAAAATTTGTATCTGCAGATATAAATCAGGAGCTGCAGGGCTCTATTGGGAACCACAGCAGCAAAAGCAACAGCCTGTTGGGCCGCCGCTCCCAGGAGTCAATGCCCCATGCCAGCAGCTCCTCCAGCATGGTTGTACCGCACCAGTCCCACCCACTGCACCAGCGTGTCCAGGGACAGCTGCCATGAGCCTGGTGCCCACCCCAGTGGGCAGGGCTTGGGCGGTACACCCAAGCCAAAGGAACTGCTGGCTTGGGGTTCTGGCTCCTGGGAGCAGTTGCCCATCAGATTGCTGCTTTCTTCGCTGCAGTTCCCATTAGAGCCCTGCAGCTCTGCAGATACCAATTTATATCTGCAGATTTAAATTTTGTATCCGCACAGGGCTCTAATTGTCAGAATACAGCAAGTTTGCTTGCTATCCGCCACACTTGCTCATTTTCACCAGGCTGGGACAAGGGGTTGTGGTGCAGGAGGGAGTGAGGGCGCTGGCTGGGGGTGCGGGCTCTGGGGTGGGGTTGGGATGAGGGGTTTGGGATGCGGGAGGGGCCTCCGGTTTGGGGTGTGGGAGGGGGGTCAGGGCTGGGGTGTGGGTTCTGGCTGGGGGTGTGGGCTCTGGGGTGAAGGGGCATCTGGGATGCAGGAGGGGGCTCTGAGCTGGGGGATGGGGCTGAGGGATTTTGAGTTTGGGAGAGGGCTCTGGATTGGGGTAGGAGTTTGGGGTGCGGGAGAGGGTGAGGACTCCAGCTGGGGATGTGAGCTCTGGGATTGGGCCGAGAGGTTCGGAGTGTGGGAGGGTGCTCCAGGCTGGGGCAGAGAGTTGAGGTGTGGGCTCTGGGGTGGGGCCAGGGATGAGGGGTTTGGTGTGTAGGAGGGGCTTCAGGCTGGGGGGGTGGGGCTTCGGAGTGTGGGAGGGGCTTCAGGGCTGGGACGGGGTTTGGGGCATGGGTGGGTGTTTGGGGTGCGGGCTCTGGGTGGCGCTGACCTCAGGTGGCCCCAGCATTTCCCAGGGACAGAGGAAGTCTGCGCTGCTCCCGGGAAGTGGCTGGCATGTCCCTCTGGCTCCTAGGCAGAGGAGCAGCCAGGGGTCTCCACGTGCCACTCCTGCCCACAGGCGCTGCCTCCTCAGCTCCCATTGGCTGTGGTTCCTGGAGCTGCAGTGCATGTGGGTGGGGGCAGCATGCGGATCTACCCAGGCTGCCCTCCGGCCACCCCTCTGCCTAGGAGCTAGAGGGACATGCTGGCTGCTTCCTGGGAGCTGTGCAATGCAGGGCACGGAGCCTGCCTCCCCTGCTGTGGCCAACTGGACTTTTCGTGGCCCACTCCGCTGTGCAGACCAGAGCCGCCAGGGTCCCTTTTCGATCTGGCATTCCAGTCGAAAACTGGATGTCTGGCAAACCTACATATATGTCACTGTTAAAGGCAACTGCACCTGTATTCCCCCCCTCATAGTCCACCAAGGGCACATGTGATTGGTTGCATCACAGAAACCCCCTTGGGAACTACCAGCTGATGTGCTGAGATTACTTCTAACCTGTTTTCCCTGCCAGCTTGGGACTCCAGAAACTTTCCTTGTTTGAGCCAGACATGCTTCCCTGCTGCAAACACAGACCCAGGTCTGAACTACATCCCACAAAAGCTGCAGGCTTAACTGAAAACGGCTTAAGAAGTATTCCTGTCTCCAACACTCAGATGCCCAACTCCCAGTGGGGTCCAAACCCCAAATAAATCCGTTTTACCTTTTATAAAGCTTATGCGGGGTGAACTCATAAATTGTTTGCCCTCTATAGCACTGATAGAGAGAGATGCAAAGCTGTTTGGCCCCCCAGGTATTAATACATACTCTGGGTTAGTTAATAAATAAAAAAATGATTTTATTAAATACAAAAAGTAGGATTTAAGTGGTTCCAAGTAGTAACAGACAGAAGAAAGTAAATTACCAAACAATATAAAACATGCAAGTCTATGCCTAATACAGTAAGAAAGTGATTACAGATGAAACCTCACCCTCGGTGATGTTCCAGTAAGCTTCTTTTTACAGACTAGTCTCCTTCTGAGCTGGGTTCAGCAATTACTCACACCACCTGTGGTTACTGTCCTTTGTTCCAGTTTCTTTCAGCTATCCTTTGGGGTAGAGAGGCTATCTCTTGAGCTAGCTGAAGACAAAATGGAGGGGTCTCCCAGGGGTTTAAACAGACTTTCTCTTGTGGGTGGACACCCCTCCCTCCCCTGTGTAGAATCCAGTTAAAAATGGAGTTTTGGAGTCACATGGGCAAGTCCATGCATGACTGAGTTCCTTACCAACCAAGCTACATTCCTGAGAAAGCTCAGTTGTGGATTGGTGTCTCCAAGTTCATTGTTGGCTTAAATGTTTCTTGTTTGGGCACTAACTGAGAATAGTCTTTTCTTAGGAAGCTGACCAACTACTTCACTGAGGCTATTTAAAATTAAACAAGTACATAGCCAATATTCATAACTTCAAATACAAAAATGATATATGCATACAAATAGGATGAATGTATTCAGTAGATCATAACCTTTGCAGAGATATGTTATGTGACATTTGTAGCATAAAACATATTCCAGTCATGTCATATTTGCATTCATAAGCATATTTCCATAAAGCATTGTGGGGCGCAACGTAACGGCACCCACTCTAGGCTCTGAGCTTCTCTGCCATTACCTCTTTTGGGGAGAGACCTGTGTCTTTCTATCTCCTGACCAGGGTGTCAAGATAGCACAACTCCTTGATTTATACTGTGATATTCCCAGAAAGCCAGACTGCCTACACAGTCCTGTGTCTGTGCTTTGCTTTCTCTCTAGAGGCCATGAACAGTGTAATTACTCTCAGTTACAAGTTACCACACTTGCTCTTTTTAAGTAAGGACATTTATTCTAAAGGTGAAAGCATTACAGATAAAACACATTAAAAACAATAAAAGAACCTACGTGTGTGCGCTAAAAAGCTTAGCAGAAGTCACCCCAACTTAAATTTTAGACTTGGGTAGGTGTCAGTCCTTCAAAACACACAGCTGGGTTTTCTCTTTGTTACAGGTTCATTACTACCTGTGATTTGGAACCAGAACCTGTTTCTTTATACAGCTCGAGCCTTTGATCTCCAGTCTCTGAGAACAGGTAGTCAGCAAACAATCATTCACTCTTCAGGACGTAGCTTCAAAAGGCTGTTTTTTTGGTGTAATCGGAGGTGAAGGCATTTGTTAACTTCTCCCTTTGTGTTTCTCAGGAAATCTACTTCACCCCATTGTTCCAGAAGTCCATTCTTGTCTGGCACACTTTCAATATAGTTCCTGGACTTCCAGGCCTCCCTCGCAGAGAAGTTGTATGCAGTCCTGGCCCGTGATAATACATAAACTTTGCATTTAATACAATGGGCCCCAAAGATAGTTAATTTAATAACTTAATTTAGTAAGGTCTTCCAAGGATATACAAGAAATTGCTTTATTTGTCACAATGCCTTTGTCAGCAAGGTTGAACAATTCCCCACTATCATATATTTTTTCTATGTATAAGAACCTATACAACGGGTTCAAGTTACTTCTCAACCTTCTCCTCGATAAACTGAATGGGTTGAGCTCCTTAAGCCTCATATCATAAGACATGTTTTCCAACTCTTTAATAATTTTTGTGACCCTCCTTTGAACTCTTCCAGTATTTCATCCTTCATAAAGTGTGATTCATCCAAAATGGATACAGCATTCTAGCAGTGGTCTTACCAATTCTGTGTACAAATGTCAAGATCACTTCCATGCTTCTGCTTGATGTTGCCCATTTTTACACATCTGAGGATCTCATTAGCTTTTTTGCCAGAGTGTTGCACTGACAGCTCATGTTGAAGCAAGTACCTATGATTATGCCTATGTCTTTCTCTAAGTCACTGTTTTCTAAGTCAGTCTCTCATCCTGTAGGTATAACATCTCATCCCGCTCATTGAGATCTCCCCATTAACAACTACATTTTGAGATCTGTCTGTGAGCCAATTGTTAATCCATCTAATGTGTATTCTGTTAATTCTGTATAATTCATTTTTTAAAAAAAAAACAAAATGTCATGTGATACTAAGATGCCTTGGAGAAATCTATATATGGTGTGAAAACACAGTTGCCTTTATCAACCAGTCTGTAACCCTGTTTTTTAAAAAAAAAAAAAAAAAAAAAAAAAGTTTGACAAGACTGACTTTCCATGAAACCATGCTGTGTAGCCTCTAGTTCTTTGACAGAGTCCCAAATTCACGGTTCCATTATTTTACCTGGGATTAACGTCAGGCTAACTGGTCTACAATTCCTTGGGTCATCCTTTTCTCCCTTTTTAAATATTGGAACTACATTGGCAGTCCTCAGTCCTTTGGAATGTCCCTTGTTTTTCAAGATTTGTTAAAAAGTAACAGCTGTTCAAAGTGCTCCTTTGTTAGTTCCTTCAAGACTCTTGGTTGTAAATTGTTTGGTCTGTTTATTTGAAAATGTTAATTTTGGCAGATTCTGGCTCATGTGCTCCTTTGTTACAGATAGTAATCTTAATATTTTATCTACAAAATCACATGGGTTGGCTACATCCTCGTATCTCATTCTGAATAGAGAGTAGAAATATCTATTTAACATTCCTGCCTTTTCTACATCACTGTTTACAAGTTTAGCGTCTGCATGTACTGATGGACC